TTAGATTTACAATTAGCATCATTTTAATAATAAGTTTTATCTTCTTGTTAAATATTTTAGAAACAAAAACAGATGACAGTTTGAAAAATAAGGTAATTATTAAGAAAGAAGAAAACAAAGACAATATAATTCTTGAAAAAACTACACAAATTTCTAGCAGTACTATAAATAAGTTACAACAATATCATTACACTATAATAGATAAAATGAAGAAAGAAAAAGTATCAACTAATTTATCAGAGACCATGTATTCTTTAATCAATTATGTTTCAAAGAGCTTTCCAGATATTGAGTAAGTCATTTTAAATTATAATGTAAGTTCTCAACATAATATATAAGTACAGTAATTCAAATTTATTACAGAAATATGAAGCCATTGAAGGACTCAGATGTACAGTATCCAACCAAATGCAATAGTGAAGACGAAGAAGCGGAAAAGGTGATTGTATTATATCTTGAGCTTGTCCCATTAAATTATTTATCTGTATTTCTTATGACTGTTATAATATTAAGCATTATATATTTAATAGGTGCTACTTTCTCCAAATAAAAAAAAAAAGAAAAAGGTAAAGCTATTCCATACCAGTCAAAATTTTGATGAACTTATTAGAGATGCTGGAAAGGCACGACCAGGTATGCGCGCGGTGGAGCGACCAGGTGACCGCTCTGCAGGTGGAGGTCCAGCAGTTAAGGAACAGGGACCCCACCAATCGACGAACGGTCATACCAGAGCGGCCCAGGAGAACCGTGGACTTCCAATCCACGTACACGTGTCACTACGATCCAAGGGTACCAGGAAGTACCCCGGAACCCCAGCGACCGATCCCTGGCGAACCTCGAGAGGCTCCCCAAAGGCAGGTACCTTCAAGGACGGAACAGCCACCAAGAAGAGAACCAAGAGACGCCGACATGGGTGAAGAGGAGGCGATCCCGGAAGGATCCGCCTGGTACGACGCTAATGCGGCGTCGGGGTACTATGCGACTCGGGACGCGGGTAGGATAGTCCGAGGATGGAAGCTGCGATACTCTGGCACGGCTTCAGAGTGCGTAGATACCTTCTTGTTAAGACTGGAGGATCTACGCGCGGGCTCAGGGCTAACGGACGGCGAAATCTTGTGCTCGATATCAGAGCTCCTCGAAGGCGTTGCGAGGACCTAGTACGAGCTTAACAAGTTCAAGTGGAGGAGTTACGCCGACTTCGTGGCTGGCGCTCGACGGTGGTTTGGGTCAAGTGAGTTGCAGCAACAAAGATTGCTGCAAGAGGCCCAAGCCCGATACCAGGAGAAAGGAGAGCTAGTGCGAGAATATGCCTGCCACCTCCTCTTCATGTTAGCCCAGCTACGCCCGCCGTTACCAGAGCAGCGGCAGTTAGATTTGTTGTATGCAAATCTCCTACCCGCCATCCGGATGCAGCTGCGGAGGAATGCGTTCTCCAACGTGGACGAATTCCACGCCCGGGCGACTGAGATCGAGACCGCTTTGCGGGACGACGAACGCCCGAGGACCAGGCTGGAGTCTACGTCCACGTTGTACCCCGAGCACATGGGGGTGTCAGCTAAGGCACCACCGCCCCGGGCAGGACCCCGAACGGCGGCCACGTCCAACAAGCCTCGGGGTAGGGAACAGCTACAACCCGAGTCACCGGTTAAAGCCCCGGCCAGGAAACCCGAGGACCGGCCCACAATCGCGGCAACGCAGGCGACAGACCGCATTGAGGATCTGTCGTCGCAGATTGCGACCCTGCGACGCGAGATGGACCGGTACTTTAAGGAGAGGAAGGCTAACTCTCCCAGGCGGCCGAGGGGTCGGCCGCAAGAAAAGGGGAGGAATAAACCCCCCCCCCCCCCCCCTGGGTCTCCTGGTCAGCGACGAGAGGGTCAGAGGAGAAAAATAGATTTCTCCCAACCAATTAAGTGCTCGTCTTGTGGCAAACTGGGTTTTACCAGGAGGTACTGCCCGGATTGCAACAAGGGAAACGGGCAGGGAAACGGAAGACGGAGGTCCCCTCCGCGTCCCCAGTAAAGGTGACCTCTCGTCGCGGGTCGCTTGAACGTGGCAGGGGCCCGTCAGCGACCCCAGGGTTCAGGAAGGTCTCGCCAGGGATATCGGACCCCACGAGACCTGGCAGTGCGGTGGCGTTGGAAGCGACAGCGACCGAACAGATGCCTGATCTGGGTAACCGGGCATTTTGTATCCTCGAAGGGTACGGAGGCCGGATTCAGGTGGTGGAGCAGGGGTTTGAATGGGTCGAAGAGGAGACCGTCAGACCCAAAAGCTCCAGGAGACCACCTGACACTCCAGAGGATACGCCGGCGACCCAGACACCTGCGGGTGAGAGCACGTCGATGCGAGTAGCGGCTGCCCAGGGCAAGAAGAGCCGTGAAAGCCTCCCGTCCACAGAGGGGAGAGAGACGGCGAAAGCTCCCCGCAGGTATAGACCCGAGGATGAGACCAGATGGTGGCTTCAGGTGGGGATAGGTGCCTACAAGTTGAGGGCACTCTACGACACCGGGGCCTCATCGACGGTAATGGGTCAACTCGGGCTTAGATTGGCATCGGACATGGGGCTGGGCCTGGACGTCACGCGAGCGGGAGAAGCGAAGCTCGCCGACGGTCGCCCATGTCCCATCTTGGGTCATGTGATTTTCCCCTTCACAGTAGGGGGAATCACAAAAGATGTAAGGGTCGCTATAACGCCACTGCTGTCTGATGACTGCTATGTTGGCGCGAATTTCGTAAGGGAATCCAGCGCCAACCTGAACCCTGACACGGACCAGCTGTACTTGGCGAAAGCCAAAGTGGCGGTACCGTTGGAAGTGGCAAGCGTCACTGGTACGTCGTGCCTCGCACCCGTAGGCCTGGTAGAAGCCACGGAAGCACAGCGTCAAGAAGTGGCTAGCCTCGTCGACGGATTAATTCCAGACGGAGGCGAGTGTTTAGGCTGTGCTGTGGGGGTCGAGCATGAGATAGACATCGAAGACGCTCGACCCTGTAAACAGAAATACTACCCGGTCTCCGACAGGGTGCGAGACGAAATGCACGCGCTGGTCAAGGCCATGCTGGACAATGACGTCATTGAACCAGCAACCAGCGGGTGGTCAAGTCCAGTGGTGATGGTTAAGAAGGCAGATGGCAAATATCGGTTCTGCGTAAATTACCAGAAGGTAAACGCGGTAACCAAGCCGGACGCCTATCCATTGCCCTTCATGAGCGACATCCTGCGAAGGATCAGGGATGCTAAGTTTATCTCGACGCTGGACTTGAGTAGCGCGTACCACCAGATACCTCTTAAAAAGGAGTCGTGCCCCATTACAGCGTTCAGAGTCCCCGGCCTGGGGCATTTTCAGTTCAAGAGAATGCCCTTCGGATTGTCTTACGCCGGCGCGACCTTCCAGAGGTTGATGGACAGAGTGATTGGCCCGGATTTAGATCCGTTTGCTTTTGCTTACCTCGACGACGTGATTATTATCTCGCCGTCCTTTGAGGAGCATAAGCGACACCTGGGATTGGTTTTACAACGAATCCTGGGTGCGGGCCTCACTGTGAATAAGACCAAAAGCCACTTCTGTAAGTCGGAAGTCAAGTACCTGGGGGTCCTAGTGAACCGTGAAGGGGTAAGGCCAGATCCAGAGAAGATCAAGCCCATCATGGAGTACCCAGTACCAAGGACGATCAGACAGGTGAAGCGATTCATGGGGATGATGTCGTGGTATCGTCGCTTTATACCCGACTTCGCGACAATCGCTGAGCCGATAAACCGCCTGACAAAGAAGAGCATCCCGTTTGCGTGGCAGCAGGAACAGGAGCAGGCTTTCGAACGGTTACGAGACGCAATGGTCTCGGCACCGATCTTGCAGTCACCAGATCCCAGCGCGCAGTTCGTGTTACAAACGGACGCGAGCGATAGTGGGATAGGCGCGGTGTTGACGCAAGAAATCGATGGACAGGAGCGCGTAATTGAGTACGCCAGTCGCTCCTTAAACAGTGCGAAAAGGAACTATACAGTCTCCGAACGAGAGTGCCTGGCAGTAGTATGGGCTATCGGGAAGTTCCGGCCTTATGTTGAGGGGCACCACTTCAAAGTCATCACACGGAAAAAAAGTAAGCATAGAGCAAGTGCGTAATTTCGCATCCAACGGCAAGCACAGAAGCCTAGACCTCAGATAGGTAAAGGTTCGACTAATTGCTAGTCGGCACCCACTGTACTGTCGTTAGCTGCAGAACTATAGTATGGGCAGGTCACTATGCGGACGCAGGCCAACTCGAGCGCGCTAGACTTAAATTTGCTCCAGTACGGACTTGGCAAGACCCATGGCTGATACGCTTAGTATGGTCTAAAGTAGCCCGATTTTTACGATTCGAAAACGGAAATGTTTATTTTTTTTATATAGAAGCTAACGTTTTATATTTAATTAAGAATAAATGATTCATTGAAGTAGTCAATTATTTCGATATTTCTTGATTGACCTTTTTGGAGAGCAGGTCAAAAACGCCCGACCGCTGGCCGGGTCCTACACAGCAGGGAGCCCGGCCGTGTGGCCGCTATCATTTGATCATCTTACTCTTCTCTAAAAATACCAAGCTACTAGATTTTCAATAAATAATTTTTTAACAAACACGTTGTTATCGACAAAGTAGTTAAAAAGTAACTCTATATGAAAAAATATTTATTCTTGTTTTTGAATCATCAAAATCCAACAACATTAACTTTTCATTTATTAAATAAATAGAAGTATGACCTCCTGTTCTACAAACGTCTATCTTTGTTGCTGTGGCGTTTAATTTTTGCACGAATAATAGTTTTGCTTTATTATTACTGAACTCAACAACATTAAATAATTTTTTTAAAACATATTTTTCCACTATGTTATTATTTTATTCCTGGGGCTTTTAATAAATTACTAAAATTTACATAAACGTGTTTATTGAATTCTATTACAATTTTTCTTCAATTCTGTACTACTCTTAATCTATTAAAAATAACGCAATTCTATTTTTACTTATATATCAAACTTTGTAGCAATATAACATTTGAACTTTTTATTCACAAAAAATATACCTGGAGGTGTGTAACATAATTCATTCATATTAATTAATGTATCGGGCGTCTCGTTGTTTGCAACTTCATAAGCATAATATTTGTAGTCGAAATCGATGTACTGTAATGAACACGCAAAGAGATATACGTCGCCATTTATTTTTAAAACATGTTTGACCTTAGCAAATGTAGGTTCTTCATCTTCATTAATGCCATAAACACAAACAGTGCCACTTTTAAATTGATTCCCTAGCATCTCAACAAACGTATAAGATTTAATTGATATAATATTTTCAAAATATTTCGTCATTTGACAATATATACGAGTATCGTCTGTTAAAGAACCTAATTTGTATTCAATATCTATCGGTTCAGTAAACTCCTTTTTACAGCTTAATAATATTTGATTTCTAAAACCCATGGTATAAGGCAGATCTTTCGAGCAAGTGACATTTTTGGCAACATTCTTAAAATCGCGATGCTTGCGTTCAAACATCATAGCCCAAAAATGAACTAAAGGTCCATTTTCAAGCATTATTCTCGGAATGTGTGTTATAATGTGATGCTTGGGTTTAAGATTTCCAAATAATTTTTTGTACAAAGTATGATGCTTATGAATTAAAGATTTAATATGTACAATATCGGACATTGCATATCTTGGAGCAGCGACGATTCCAACAATTTGTCTTAATGTAATATAAAGTTTCCAATAATCAATTGTATCTGCTGAAGTAGGAATCAATTCACCTAAGATAGGCCCCAAGTAACGTATGAGACAAGCCATTTCGACAGCCGATTGTTTTGCCTTAACTTTTGTACGAGTTCCTAATTTTTCTCTATCGCACGGCTTACAAATCTCAGTCATTAGAGGCATTGGTTTGTTCGACTTTTCATTTCCGTAGTCAAATTGATTTATTTTTGTATTAAGCTCAGTTAAAGTAAATAATTTTTTTTTTAATATATAAATAGTCAAAATATATTCAATTTCATCTCGACCAATGCCTTCAAACAAGTCATGCATCAAATCTAGACTATGATTTTGCGTAATATGAAATTTTGGCAAATCATTGAAAATACACTTCTCTTTCACGCCTCTACTTTGATTTAGTAAATCATTATTATAAGACTTCTTAGTCCTAATAAGAGATTCGTCTTCAACGGTCAATATTTTACAATCATCTGAATTCGCGTTACAGATGCGACAATAATAATAAGCATTGAATGACTCTGTGAAACCGCAACAACTATTTAATCCTAAATTATTACCTATTAATAATAAACAATTGAAATACACGGTTTCTGCCCTACCATCGACAAATATGGTTAATCCTTTTGTTGCTAGTTCGTTTAATTCTTTTCTTATTTCTGAAAATACAGCACTATTACCAAACGTTGTTCGATGGTTTGAATGAAATATAGTTGTTAAAAAAATATTAGTTAACTTTGAAACTAAATGAGGTGGAAGACATGGAAGTGATCCATACACCATATCAAGCTTTTGTTGACTTGCGTGACTGCCTAATGTGTTTCCCGGTTGCATATCGTCAAAAGATAAAAAGAAAGGAAAAGCGTTGAAACCGTCTTTACGATATTTAGATTTCCATAGTGTCCCTTGAGTAATGTTACAAATCAAATCATTTTCATTTTCTAATGACTGCATGTACTCCTTCATACTATTATAAATTCCTGGTAGCTCTAAAAAAAACTTGAAGTGTTTTAATTAATGATATATGCATTCCATGTACAGATTTTCCAGCTTTATCTATACCAATTACGAACTGTTCCGGCTCAAAAAATAAGTTTTCTTTTTTATAATTTTGTAATCGTAAATGTTCTGTTGAAAAGTCTTTCAGTGGATCTTTACCATTTTCAAAAATTGCATGAATTCGACTTCGCGTTTCATCATCAAGTACACTTTTCATAACTCTATCCATTTCTTTTTGTAAAAAGACAGTATGTGCTTGTGAAATGAAATCACCAACCTTTTCGATAGTTGATTGAACTTCATTTCTAGGAACTGCAGAATTTTCGTACAAAGATAACGTAAACTTTCGCACTTGTTCGTGAAAATCGAGTCGATTCATATACGCTTCATAATTAGTATTATTCGAACTCATTTTAATAAATTATGCTATTCGTTTTTTGATTACTTGATTTTGTGCAGTTCAATTAAGTGTCAAAAATAGTAAAAACACAGGTATATATTTTTTGAGCACAGTTTTGTCGTTAGAATTCACAACACACTAGTCTTTGTTGCGGAATCTTATATTTTACTTTTCTTGATTGATGTTGAAATCCAAATTTTATTTCCTAAAATATTAAATTAAAAATTAGCATAGCTAACTACGAATAAGAATTATAGTAAGCCCAATAAGAATTATATAAGCACATACCTTGCTACACTTATGTCTTTCCTTTAACCATTACTTTATAACTGCGTTTTATTCGACAATTTCACTTAATGATATCTCAACAGTTGAAAAATGTTATTTACTTCTGAAAAAGTTGTAGCACTTGAAATGATTCTATTAACAAGAACTATGTTGCAAATAAGTTAACGCACAATATTACAACAATCCAGTACACGTTAGAGTAGCGACTTTTGAAGCCTGCTTGGAGTAATGAAACCCAAACTTCAAAGTAGAACCCTTAAATAGTTCTCCCCTCTGCTTCTCTAAGATTTTACTTCTAATGTCCACTTTCTCAAATGCAATTAAGCGACCTTGCCAATCCTTAGATTGTCGTCGACAATAAGCAAATTTCAAGAATTTAGCTGAATGTTTATTATGTTCTTTTAAACTAAACGCCCACAATAGCCTAATGACTCCTTAAAACCGTGACCGTTTGCCCGGGTGAAGATTAACGCTGCACTTTCACCTAAGCGGAGTGACGATTGCTTATTGTCGCCTAATGACGATCATTAACAGAAATAGATTTATAACATCTACCGATGTGGACCTATTTGAAAGATGCAGACATTTTAATTTTTCCTTCTCCTACTCTCCTAAAGGAAAACTTATGCCAAACACTTACTCTGAATCTTATAAATACTGCTTCAACTAAATATATAAGCTCAGTTCGTTGTGAGATTTCATCCGAGAGGATAGTCATCTGCATCTTACTGACTTCTCGACGTTTTTGCGCTTCAACTGTGACACTTGATTGTGAGTTGCTAACATTTTAGTGATAGTATAGTGATAGAAAAGTATTTTGAAAACATGGAAACAGAAGCTGAAATTAATTTTGGTAAGTAAATAAAAATTATGTTCAAGCCAATAAATTATCAATCTCTTATATAAAATCGTTTTAGGTTTTATCTTTAGTTAGTAACGAATAGTTTTTCTAACCCATTCATAAATAAAATTGATTTTGTTACAAATTATTCAATTTATCACAATATCTTGTTCGAGTAAATTCACATAGCGAGTGTTAGATCGATCTCAAAGAGCAAAATGCCACATAATTATAAAATGAATCATTGACGACCAAGGTCATGCTATAATCTAAACAGTATCTATCTATGTTATATATATAATAATTAAATAAATTTTAGGATCTTTGCGGAAAGGTTTTGGAACACAATGTTCAATCGAATCAAGATCGATGGATGTGAATGATTCTGGCACCAATGTTACAATTTCATCTTGTGCTTCATCGCAAAGAACGCCACTAACTATCGAGCAGAATGCTGTATGGCATGGTACTAGAACCCTTTTTTCTCAACTGCTACTCGACAGAAATATTGGTATGTATGATCAATTTTCGTTATTTAAAGTAGCTTTATTAATAACTGACTAGAATATACGACTCGGCAGGGAACAAATCACTATGTTTATTTAATTTGCGCGTAAAGAAAGAATTCAATGGCTATATTGTAATTGTTTTAATTATTATTTCTTGAGATATAGGTAATAACTGAAGATACTTATATTTTTTTAGATCTTCGCTACCAGTATCCCGTTGGAGAAGGAGTATATATAGATTTAGCTGATGACTGGACCGGTGCATGTTATTTAGCAGCATATGCCCGTGACAAGAATAATGGGTATTTTGATAACAATTTACTCAACCCATACTCCGAAAAAGAAGTCATAGAAGAAGATTCTGATGACGAAGGATTGGGTGACGTCGATTTATGCAGTTTGATTACTAAGAACGATAATCGGCACAAAAAGATATTCAAACCAGCGAAAGTCGCCAATATTATAATTAATAAGCATTTGAGCCAGGCATTCGGAAAACATAGAATCGTTCGTGAGCAATTTCAAAGCTGGGCAGAGCAATTGGAAAAGCTGTTTCCACTATTAGGACCTGCGTCGATATGGTACACGAAAAGTGAAACATGCAAATACAAGCATACAATCACTGCTCGTGGTTACCTGTTCGACAAGTATAGGCAGTTGACAGGTTTAGGCATTCAGGTGGGATTAATAGAAAAACGCAAATTTTTTACTGCTCAAGGTATAGTATAATTTTCAATATACACATATATAAATTAAAACTATATAATTGTGCTAATGAAAGAATAATTTTTAGCCTTTTCCAGCCCAAGTGAAGTGTTAGAGAAGCTGAAGGCAGCTACAACAGTTGATGCTGACTTTAAGGAAACTTGGCAAAACAATCGCGATGAACTGAAGGATTATTTTTCGAAAAACGAGCTAAAAGAAATTTGTAAGCAGATTCCTCTTTTACAGACACCGGAAGGATTTGAGCTGGTAATATATATATTGCAATTATTTCAAGTTGTTAAAAAAATCAATATCTGTTTGAAGAAATATGATGATTAATAATAATTCAATTGCACATAATATGAAATATAATGATATTAGGATATTACAATTGAAAACTAATTTTTAACTTTCAATTATATATTGTTTCCAGTTAGTGCAGGAATTCAATGCACTGTACACGAGGTGTCACCGAAAATTTATACGAAATTGGCCAAAACTGACCAACTTAATTTTAACGAATATGGAAAAAAAAGGAGCGCCTAAAGATGTGTATGAAATGTACAAAACTTTGTATGAAGCAGAAGTTCAAAATCAAGATTCATCAAAAACGAAGGATGATCCAAGTGAGTCTTGTTTTTAAAATATGTTTTTTTAAATATTTGCAGATACGAAAAAAACTGATTTAAATGCGTTATTAACTTTCTTTTTCAGTTGCCAAACAAATATTGGCTCTACTCGTGATGCCACGTTTGTTAGGTACACAATTATGTAAAGTTGTCTCCCATAAGAACAAACAAGCTTGCGCATCAGAGATGGATGATGAATCCCAGCAGGTGGAAGAAAATACATTAAAATCATGGAAAGCATCAAGCATCGAAGTTTTACAATCATTCATCTATCACATCGAGGTAAATTTTTATACTTGAAATTATTAATACTTATAAATATTATATAATATAATATATAATATTATATATTATACTTATAATATTAATTACTCATCATTTTTACTAATTATAAATTTTTTTTATTTACAGGACAACGAATGTTGGGATGAAGATCGAGAAAAGATTTGGATGGAAACAATCTCAAAAAAGTATGCTTCTCATGGATTAGAATTGACGCCGTACATAATGATGGTTGGCCCAATTAGTAACATTGAGAAAACGGTTATTGTTATTAACGATACAAAAATTGTTTATTACGGAAGAGAGTCGCCTTTATGTGCCGTTGATACCTGCTTTAAAGTTACCATGATGCTGGAAAAAAACTGTCCGAAAGCTGCTTCACCGCCATGGGAATTTATTTTAAGAAAGGCATATCAAATGCCTACTAAGAATAAAACCTTAATAAGACAGGTAACTCAATTCATTGCGGAATTAGACAACATTTTTAATGTTTTAAAAAAATAAAATAGAAAATTGTAATAAAAATGTGTGAAAAATGTATATAATAAAAGTGTGTGAGACAGAGAGAGAGAGAGAGAGTGTGTGTGTGTGTGTGTGTGTGTGTGTCTTGTGTAATTTATAAAATGTAAATTTAATTCAAGAAAAATTGTAATAGAATTCAATAAACACGTTTTTGTAAATTTTAGTAATTTATTAAAAACCCCAGGAATAAAACAATAACATAGTGGAAAAATATGTTTTAAAAAAATTATTTAATGTTGTTGAGTTCAGTAATAATAAAGCAAAACTATTATTCGTGCAAAAATTAAACGCCACAGCAACAAAGATAGACGTTTATAGAACAGGAGGCCATACTTCTATTTATTTAATAAATGAAAAGTTAATGTTGTTGGATTTTGATGATTCAAAAACAAGAATAAATATTTTTTCATATAGAGTTACTTTTTAACTACTTTGTCGATAACAACGTGTTTGTTAAAAAATTATTTATTGAAAATCTAGTAGCTTGGTATTTTTAGAGAAGAGTAAGAAGATCAAATGATAGCGGCCACTCGGCCGGGCTCCCTGCTGTGTAGGACCCGGCCAGCGGTCGGGCGTTTTTGACCTGCTCTCCAAAAAGGTCAATCAAGAAATATCGAAATAATTGACTACTTCAATGAATCATTTATTCTTAATTAAATATAAAACGTTAGCTTCTATATAAAAAAATAAACATTTCCGTTTTCGAATCGTAAAAATCGGGCTACTTTAGACTATACTAAGCGTATCAGCCATGGGTCTTGCCAAGTCCGTACTGGAGCAAATTTAAGTCTAGCGCGCTCGAGTTGGCCTGCGTCCGCATAGTGACCTGCCCATACTATAGTTCTGCAGCTAACGACAGTACAGTGGGTGCCGACTAGCAATTAATCGAACCTTTACCTATCTGAGGTCTAGGCTTCTGTGCTTGCCGTTGGATGCGAAATTACGCACTTGCTCTATGCTTACTTTTTTTTCCGTGCACCGATCATAGTTGCCTTAAGTGGCTCCACAGTATGAGGAATCCTACAGGAAAGCTAGCGCGTTGGGCGTTAGCACTGCAAGGGCATGTTTTCGATATAGAGTATCGAAAGGGAGACCTCAACGTGGTGCCAGACGCTTTATCTAGGGCCTATGAGGAGGGGGTGGTAGAAGTGGGTGCCATGACTCATCAGCCGGAAACTGCCGATGCCTGGTACCTTCAAAAGTATAGAGAAGTATGCCAGGATCCACATTCTCAAC